GGGACCCCCTGAATCATCTCTATGGTCTTGGGGGTCCCCAGACCTCCAAGCTCTATGGTCACCCCTGGGGGACCCCCTGAATCATCTCTATGGTCCTGGGGGACCCCAAGCTTTATGGTCACCCATGGGGGACCCCCTGAATCATCTCTATGGTCTTGGGGGGCCCCAGACCTCCAGGCTCTATGGTCACCCCTGGGGGACTCCAGACCTCCAGGCTCTATGGTCACCCATGGGGGACCCCCATGATCGTCTCTATGGTCTTGAGGGTCCCCAAGCTCTATGGTCACCCAGCGGGGACCCCTATGTAGATCTCTATGGTCCTGGGGGAGCCCCAGACATCCAGGCTCTATGGTCACCCATGGGGGACCCCTGATGATCTCTATGGTCCTGGGGGGCCCCAAGCTTTATGGTCACCTATGGGGGACTCCTGAATCGTCTCTATGGTCTTGGGGGTCCCCAGACCTCCAAGCTCTATGGTCACCCATGGGGGCCCCCCAATCATCTCTATGGTCCCTGGGGATCCCAGACCTCCAAGCTCTGTGGTCATCCATGGGCGTCAGTGCCCCCCTTGATCATCTCTATGGTTCGGGGGGGCCCCCTCAGACCCCCAAGCTCTGTGGTCACCTCTGGGGTCCGGTGTCTCCCCATGATCCTCTCTATGGTGATGGGGGGGGTCCCCATAGACCCCCAAGCTCTATGGTCACCCATGGGACCCTCTTCCCCCCCCCCCCCATGATCCTCTCTATGGTCCTGGGGGGGTCCCCAGACCTCCAAGCTCTATGAGACCTTCTTTCCCCCCCCCACCCATGATCATCTCTATGGTCCTGGAGGTCCCACAGACCCCCAAGCTCTATGGTCACCCGTGGGACCCTCTTCCCCCCCCATGATCCTCTCTATGGTGCTGGGGGTCCCACACGCCCCTAAACTCTATGGTCACCCCTGGGGGACTCCATGATCATCTCTATGGTCCTGCTCCCCCCAGACCCCCAAACTCTATGGTCACCAATGGGGGACCCCCCCCCCATGATCCTCTCTATGGTCCCGGGCCGGGGGGGG